AATAATAGCCCCATCAATTTGGTTAACGCTATCTTTTCCTGTTCCTTTCCAACTTTCCAGATGCTGTTTAATTATTTTAGAACCTTCACATTTTGTTTGCTTTATGTCTTGATGTGTTGTGTGCCTAGGGACCTGTCAGAGGAGGGGATGCTGAGCTAAATGTGTATGCACACATTCCTGCACAGTCACAGCCCATGCGTGTGCATACTTGAATGGCTGCCGCTGCTGCTGCTGGCCTGTGCCCTTGAATAATGGGAGAGCAAGGTCCTGCTGCCTGGCCTTGCTGAGGGCAGTAAGTGGCGCTTGAATGATGGAGAGCAATGTTGGAAGAAGATGCTGGACTGTGGTCTCATCCAGCGTAGCTCTTCTTATAGTCTTGATGATAACACTGCAGAGGTTATGAACTGTGCTGGATGTCTCTGCTTGGTTGCTTGAAGATACTTTACCAGCCCGGGCCACCTGAAGTGAGCCCACTACTCACCAACCAGAGCATTCCTCTGCCTGCTGGCCAGTCTGATAGCTGCTCAGGAATGAGATGCAACAGTGGAGAAAATCAAGCCCACCTCCAGAAGGGCAGCAAGAGAAATGCAGCGGCAGAGCTGGCTCAGAGCCCATTGGGGGGGCAGTGAGGAGATGGCTTGCCTTAGTGCAGCTGCCATGTGTGTCTCTGATACTGAAGCCCTGTTCAGGGGTACCTGAATAGGAAATGATGGCATGCATAAGAATGACAGGAAGGTATGTACTGTCCCAGCATCCTTGTATATCCTAACTTATAGTCCTAAATCCCCAGCCTCCCCTTTTGAGTGTAGAGGTCTTCAAGTGACTTTGACCATCTTTGCTTGACTGTAAGCAGAAGCCTGATAAAGTAGGATTCCTGGCTGCACTGTATTCAAACAAATGCGAGTGGAAGCCCCTTGCAGACTGCCTCACTCAGCACCAGGCGGTCAGGTACACTGGAGATGGGGATGGTATCCATGGCCAAAGTCTCTTGCTGTGCCCTGTGCAGCCTTCCTGTCTCCCAAATGCTTCGTTCATTGACCACAGAAGGCGCCTGTGAGCCTTGGCATGGAATCTTTGGCTCAGCTCATTTTGCTGATTTACCTACTTTGCATGTGGGTCTTTCCTCTGCATGTCATTGTAGCTGGACTGTGCTGTCATGTGCAAGAGCTGGGGCTCTCACAGTGCTTCTGGATGGTATTAGTGGCCAAGAACTTCTGAACACATACAGGACCTGTACGCCTTCTATAAACAGTATATTTTTTTCTGAACCAAACCTAGGTTGTGTGAAACTTTGTCCATGGGGCAGGAGTGCAATGTCTTGGTTGCCAGAACTGTGCCTGGGGCTTGCAGGAACTCTGAGGATCTCGCATGTATGAGTCTACATGCATACACATACACACGCATATATACTAATTCAGACATTTTCTCACCAAGCATGCCCAGTGTAGCTCAATTCCTTGCATATCTGCTTAAGAAGTAAGCCCCATAGAAGAGCTTTCAGCCATGCAAATGTCAGCTCAATGCTGAAATTTAAAGGTATTTGAACTTAACGCCTACCTCTCCTGTTGAAGCTTTGATTGATCTGTTGGAGTGAAGAAATGGCGCTATTGCTTCTGGTTGCCTTCTCCAGATTAGCTGAGCACGTACAGCTCCATGGATTATCCAGAGCTGAGATAAGTGAAAGGATGGGAAATGACTTGAGGAAAACAGTGAATGAAAATAATAGAATGCTGTTGAGTGTCTGTATTCAAGCTTACTCCGGGGTGGTGAAGGCAACAAAAAAATGTTACTTCATCACATCTAGCAGATCCATTTATGTATGTATGTATGTATGTATGTATGTATTAAAACATTTCTATGCCGCCCCTTGCCGAAGCCTCGGGGCGGCTCACAACATTGAATAAAATACACAATTTAGGCTTGTCTTGCTTGTTATATGGTAGCCCTAAGCAGGTAATGGAACCATCAGGTGCTCATTGTGGCCTTTTGACAAGACATTCGCAGGATAAAATCCATTGCTTTCACCAGGAGTTCAACTTCTTGGCCAAGTAGTCTTGGCCAACTTTACTTGGAGGAGTTTCATTTGGTGCAGCCTGAGAACATTAGTAAGGTACTTGAACAGTGTCACAAGGCCATTTCCTTGCTTCTTGTGGTTTACTAAAACTGGCAGGTATGGAATAGTTGGCTGGACTAGGGAGGTGATTCATGCTTCTTTGTGATAGGAAGGAGTTCTAGGACAGCTGAAAGAGGTGAATGTGCCATCCTGAAGGGAATGTGCCATCCTTGGCAAGGTATTTGAAAGGAGTGGTTGCCGATCAGTTCCATATACTCTTGAATGAGTCCGATTATCTGAAATCATTTCATTCTGGAAACGATCTCCAGAAATGTGGATCTGTGCTGGAGAGAGATAGGAAGAGTGACTTTGTTAATTCTTCTTCCTATGTCAGTAGCTTTTGATACCACAATCCATGGTATCCTCACACACTGGCTGTCTGATGTGGTAGTGAGGGGTACTGCTTTTAAGCAGTCTTGCTTCCATTTGGATGATCAGCTCCAGAAGATGGTGTTTGGAGGATATTGCTCAGTCCTATGGATTTGTCATTATGAGGTCTTGTAACGGTTAGTTTTGTTCTTGATGCTATTTGACATCTGTATGAATCCTTTGAGTAGAGCCAGCTGAAATGTCAGAGCTCTTTGTTATCAGTCTGCTGATGCTGTGCAGCTCCATTTCTTCTTTTTTCTCTTTAGCAGGTGAGGTTTTGGATATGCTAAATCAGTGTTGGGCCATGACAGTGGACTGAATGAGGGCTAATGAACTGAAGCTCAGCCCAGAAATGAGCTGCTGTTAGCAACCTTGTCATATTTTTGGCTCCATGTTAAGAGTTTCCTCTATTTCCAGGCATTTAAATGGTATATGATAGCTTAATTCATCATTTGACTTATGGTTTTTGAGGATGGGTAATAATAACAACAACAATATACTGTTCCTTCCCCTTGCTGCAGAGTTACTTTGCTTTGACCAAGGTTTGGCCCGACTCAGCTGGCAGGAGCTGGGTTTGGCTTTGCTGGCATTCCAGAAAGGCTGTGAGATAAGGATAGCTGTAACTCGTATTAGCTGTAGGATTGTTCTTAAAAAGGCATGCTTTAATCTGTATCTGAAAACCAGTACACAGCAGCCTATTTCCCTGCTAGAAGTGAAAGGTCTTCACACATGAAAGGCCAAGCAAGATAAGAAATTACCAACACCTTTCAATGGTTTCCCCCTCACACAACAGCTCTGATTATTTAATTAATGCCCAACTTAAAGCTATTTTCTGATCTGTGGAACCTGATAAATATACCATGTCAAAGAAGATTGACTAAATGCCATGATTTTGAAGTCTTCAGACATTATGGTATTTGCTTAAATCTTGCCTGTGTAGGAAGCACACCTGGATACAGAGAGATTGCTTACAAGCCACCTGTTGTGTGCAGTCACAAGATCTTACCCAGCACCCCCACAATTCCACTGTTTTGGGAAGTAACCATCTGCTTCTAGGAAGGGATTCCTTGTTTGTTTGTTTGTTTGTTTGTTTGGGAGAAGGCAGAGCAATAGATCCATTAGGATATTCAGGTCCTAGACATCCAAAGTGAAACTACCTATGTAATGCCTTGAAACAAATTTCTTCTGATCAGTTCTCATGTATCAGCTTGTACATTGATTAGTTTATTATTAATTTATTATTTTGATTTGTATGCCACTCCACTAGCCCATATCTGGGCTCTAGGCATGGCTCGCTTTTCTTATTGCACCTAGTTTTCCTATTAATTTTCAAATGTTTATTTTTAACCTTTTCAGTTATTTTGGGATGCATGATTTTAATTCCCCTGATCATTTTTTTCTGTACTAAAACAAATAATTACTTTCTAGGACTTTGTCTGTGGTCTCCAACTTCCTCAGGTTTTGGATGCCAGGTTTTTTCTCTGTGCCTGTAGTTCAGCACAAAAAGTTTTGCATCAGTCCGTGGCTGGGGGTGGGGTGATTGGAAAAAGACTGCATGAACATTCACATTTCTCAAATATATGCATTTTTGTACACACTTTACCAAACATTTGTTTTCTCTGAAGCAATTCCCCTGATACACATTTTTGTATGTTCCTTCCTCTAAGGCTCATTTGTTTTCTCTTTCCTGTAACATGCAGAACATTGTGCTCTTTCCTGTTATAAAAAAAATGGGGTACAATTTTTGTTTTGTGAATTTTATTGCAAAAGGTTGATACGACTTCCACTAATTTAGCTTTGTCCCAATACAGGAAATTTAATAAATTTGCCCAACAAACTTCTATCCCACCTCTTCCAATTCCCGCACCATTGCTCACCCAAGTGTCTCTTACAGTTTCTTTCAACTAGGAGAATGTTTGAAATTTCAATTCTATATGACCTACCCTAAAATCTTGGAAAAAGGATATGATCGTCGGCTGATAGGTGGGAAGCACAGCTACTGTGAGGCGAGTAGGTTTCTGGCAAAGGTGCCAGCACTGCAAATTTGTGAAGACCTCTGTTGAGCAGGATGTGAAATGTGATTTTCTGGTAACTGCCTCAGATTTCAAGGGTGGATTATTTGATTGAAAATAATCAAGCAATTTTATTTCAGTTGTCTATGGGAACTTTGTTTTGTCTGGAGGAAATAACGTTACTTCAGCAGCAGTACATTATTCTAACAAACAGAATATCATTGTCCCTAAGAAAACAAACATTCTAAGCGGTTGGCTTAATTGCTAGTTATTTGTCTTGATTATTTTGCATTTCAAAGTGTATGAAATCCACATCCTTTTATGTGCAGCTAATGTCTGTGGAAGGGAATTTATAGCACTGAGAGCTATTAGGCAAGGTGTTTGTTCTTGAAGCTAAAGTGGAGAGGGGCACAATGGCTTTCACCTCCTGGAAGGAATCTGTGCACTGGCCATTCACTGCTGAATTAAAAGCCACCTGCTCTAACATTCTCCCTTCCTCCCATTAGAACATCCACCTGGTGGCCAAATGGCTGAGTTCCCTGGAGAAGAAGCTAGAGCAGCACAGTGAAGGCAGTCACCCCGAATTTCGCATCTTCATCAGCGCAGAGCCTGCAGCTTCTCCTGAGGGCCACATCATACCACAGGGCATCCTGGAGAACTCCATCAAAATCACAAATGAGCCCCCAACTGGAATGCACGCTAACCTCCACAAAGCTCTGGACAACTTCAACCAGGTATTGGCCCCCTCCGCTGCAGAATGATTCTTTGTTCCAGCAGCCATGAGGGAGATCAGACCAGCAAAGAGTCAAGGTGTCCGGCAACACATGGGAGCCACTGCAGGCTGGTGCTACACTTTGCACAGCCCTTATGATACAACTTGAGTGCTGCACTGTCACCCCTGTTCAGGGTAACTGTGTGTGTACTGAAGGTCTCCTGGTTGAAGCCTGCACTTGTAGGCATGCCATGCCATACAAGTTCTTTGGTAGCTTTTCCTGTATATACCTGGAAGGTGCCAGGATCAGGGCCTGGCTGGACTTGCAAGTGTCTGCAGACCCCGGTAACTTGCAGGGAACAGCTGGGAAGCAATCGTGCGGTGCAGCTGGAGGCCCACATAAAAGGCCTCTCTGCCCCGCTGCTCCTCGCACAGCTATGCAAGCCATCCTCACGACTCCTTGTGCTTCGGCTCCTCGCATCTCCGTGCCTTGCTCCTTGTATCCACCTTGCTCCAGCTGCACTTCAGCATTCCAGTTGCTCCCATCTTGCTCCTGTCATTCCTGCCCTGCTCTGATGATGCCTTGCTTTTCTCCAACCTGCTCCTGCCATTCACCTGTCCCTGCTGTGACTGCTCACCTGGTAACTGATCTTGCACTGTTTCTGGCTCGCGCTCGCGCTCGCGCTCGCGCTCTCTCTCTCTCTCTCTCTCTCTCTCTCTCT